AATACAAATAACCTATATTAATCAGGACAGAAATCCAATTCAATTATCTTAAACAAGAAAGGGACTTTATTGGCTCACAAAACGTTAAAGTCCAGAGGTAGGGCAGGCTTTAGGCACAGCTGGATCTAGGGCCTCCAGAAAATTGACATCAGAACTTAATTCTCATTCCTTTCTGCTAGCCTCTGAGTTTCCCCTCAGACTCTCTCCACATGGTACAAATTTTCAGGCTTACACAGTCATTAGTTCGTGAGATCTCTGTTGAGCGTTCTTTCCAAGAGTTCCAGCAGAAGTTCTGTTGAGGGCTTTCTTTAGCCTGGCTTGAGTTACATGCCCATTCTTTAATCACTGTGGCTAAGGAGCTGTGGGACTCAGGAGGGCCAGGCCTGGTTATGTACTCACCTAAGCCACAGGGAATGGGTTCCCCACAATAAATAAGGATTCTGTTATCACAAGATGGGGAAAGAGATGCTGAACAAAAACAACACATATCCACACATAACCCAACAGAAGAGCAGGTAAAGGATACAAACAATCCATGATAAAACTATAAATGGCCAATAAATATATGTAAATAACCTCAACCTCACCATTAACCAGGGAAATGCAAAATGATCCTTTTTTTTTTTGCCCATCAGATAAAAATTATCAAGTGTAGGTAAGGCTATATGGGGAAATGAGCACTTTCTATACAGTTGGTGAAAATAGAAAGTTATGAGGGCCTTTGGGAAGGCTAAGGTGGGTCTACCAGAGCACACCCTTTGTCCCAACAATCTACCTTATACTCCATTCTAAAGAAATATTCACACACGTGCACAGAGATATGAAAGAGATCTTTACTTCGGCAATGTAATAGCAAAAGAAAAAAATAAGGGAATAGTTAAATAATGGTATTTTCATAGTACTTAATACTATTCAACCATTAAAGAAATTTAAAGACCTCAGGATCTGAGACCAAAAAAAAAAAAAAAAGCAAGCTGCAGAATACATATATATGATCCTATTTATGTAAAAACAGCATTTATATGTGTATGTATATTCACATGGAAATTATGGAAAGGAGATCAGAAGAACGTATACTAAACTGTGGGCAGTGGAATGTGATAGGAAACGCTGCAGAAAAGGGTCTCTCTTCAGTCTTGTGTAAAAGTTAAGTACACTGAGATGGCAGTCATTTATACTTCCATAATTTAAAAAAAATTGGGGAAATGCAATTCACAATAGGAAATGAAAATGGCCAATAAACATATGAAAAGATGTCCCTTCTTATTAACAAAGAAAAGAAAGATAAATTTTAGCCTATCAGAGTGGCAAAAGTATTGAAGGATTCAGTGTTGGTGGGAGTGTAGGCAAAGAGGCACTCTGAATACTGATGGAGTTGTAAAGTGGTACAATCTTTTTGATGGTATTTCTCAAAATGTTAAATGTGCATATTTTCTGACCCAATAATTCCACTTCTAGCTATTTATCCCACAGAAATACCCACACAGGCAGCAAAATATATACAGATGTTAACTCTACCTTTACCTATAATAAAGAATCAGAAATAACCAAATTACCTACCAATAGGGGTTAAATAAGTTACAGTGTATTGATGCAATGGATTAGTATGCAGCCATAAAAAAACAATGTCTACATCAAAGTGGGAGGGAGGAGGCAAGTTTCAGTGCAGTTCACGTAAAATAGGGATATGTACCTACCACACTCATATGATCGCTGTGAGGATTAAGAGTTAATCCATGGTAAAGCACTTCCAACAGTGCCTGTATACAGTGACAAGTGTCAGCTATTAACACATTTTTGCTTAATTATGTATATGCCTAAATCTGGAAGAACAGCAAACCAAATAATTATTACTTCTGTGTTAAGACCATGAAAAGGAATGTCCTTTTTCATTTTACATTTCTGTACTGTAGAAAACTCAAATGAGCATGTTTTAATAGCTTTTACATTTGTTAACCATAAGATAAAAGCATAAAATTTATCAATCAAGGTTTAATAGCCATCATTCATTGCATTGTGAAAAAATATACATCCCTGGAATTCACAGAACTAGATTTGAGTTTTAGCTCTAATTGGCCACATGCAAGTCACACAATCTCTAAATCTTGCTTTCCTAGTCTACAAATCTAAGTGAGATAGGTAAAGTGTCTAATCCAATGTCTGGCATGCAGATTACTTCAGTACATAGAACTCTCCCTTGAACTTACACAAATGTATTAGACATATTGCTAAATGATCAACTGCCAACTGGGTGTGAGTGTGGGGAGTTCAACCTCCAAGAAAACCAAAAGAAAATTTAGCAGTAATGAGCAAGTAAATGCTCAGTGGCTACTGGACAGGCATCAGCATGCTGTTAACAATGCTGTTAACAATGCTGTTAACAATGCTGCATTAACAATGCTGTTAACAATGACTGCTCATTTGATAACCCAACAGATGCCACTGCTTGGCAACTGCCAGATCACCACTTCATCAGAGGCTGGGCACCCCCCCAGAATCACCAATATGATTATCTGTGTTAATGTAAATGAATGTCTGGATGAAATCATAAATCACCAAATAGTTATTTAAAATCAATTTGTCTAGCGGGAACTTAGACTAACCAGAGATGGCGAGTACACAGACCATCACTTCCTTTTCATGTGTATTGTCACAGTTTTTTTGGGTCCAACCCACTTTCCCCAGAGCCTTGCCTTAGTTTCAGAATCCTTTCTGAACAACGTACAGGTATCGGAGATGGCAAGACAACCTCATATTTGCCAACTCAAATACTTTCTCTAAGCTCTCACACTATACCAAACATCTTTGGCATTTATGAAAAATGTACCACAGGGAAGCTTCTTTGTAGACAGGAAAAATAAGATCTAAAAAAACATGAAATTCTAGCCACCAAGAGGTTATTCCCTTCTTACCTACTCTGATAAAAGAATTCTGTCATCCCAGTATTCCAAATATGCCACCTCAAAACCTACTTGGAAAGATGCCAGTTATAAATAAATAAATCAATCAACCCAAGACCGTTTTATCTTAGAGTGGAGGAATTTATAGCTTTATTGGACATTGACTTGTTTCCTCTCAGCCACAAAGAGAAGACCCAAACAAAAATCCCTACATATTCTTGTATAACTTAAAATACATTATATCGTTACTACATATTTATACTTCAATAAATCTTAATCTATAAAGCACATTTCTTATAATTGTTATCAGAAAATCTATAAACAAGCTCCATTCTGCCTCACTTCTCCACCAGCTGGCCTCACATTAGTATGCTTTTTAACAGGCTCATGCAAATCTCACCTTCCATTTTTTAATTTGATCCAAGTACCAGATGTAACCCAAACCTCTGGAACTATGAAATATTTTTATTCACATGGGTCATTTTCCACACAATTATGCCCACTATAAAAAAGCCTTTTCTCATATCTGTATTTTAACTTTCAGAGTTTTCCACTAAACAGAACCACAGTACTTGGGATTCTCAGACAAGGAGTATATGATCCTACTACTACAATGTGTATTATTTTTATACATTAAAAAAATGTGTTAAGACTTAAAATGAAAAAAAAATAGTTCCACCAACTCTGACAGTTAAACTAGTTGTTATAACCTAGTTTTTTTTTTTTGAAATAGAACCCATTCAACTTAACATGTAAGTATAACCTCAATGCTACTAGAGATTGATTAGTTGTTTTTTTTTTTTTTTAATAAAAGACCCACAAACCTCCAAACTGTGATAAGTTATCTCTGACTCACCTCTGAAGATTGCTGAAGAGCTGGCTAGCTCTTTGAGCTGAGTCTTCCTTTACCCAAACACCCTGGTAAGACAACTATGGCTCTAGGAATCTCAGAGGTGGGGGAAGAGGCTAACTCACATGCAACAGCTTTGTACCAACCCCCAATGATTTACAGTGGAAAAAATACCTACCTAATTATGGCAGGGTTACAGTACCTAGCACAGTGCCTTGTCGGTAGAAAATTTAGTAAATGCATGGCTGCTTTGTTAGCCTGGTGTTCAATCCTTTTGTACCAAAGGAATAAAATCGCAAACCTGATACTCGTTGCCCACCTGTCATGGATTTTTCTGTCCTTAAACATGAAGGAAAAATAATAATGACCTAGATCTTCAAGTCTTTTGTTTTCTAAAAGCCAAAACAGACCATCACTCTGTTTACATTTGCCCTTCAACACTGCCATTCACTACAAATCTTTCCGTAGTGTTATAATTTCTACCTTCATAGTTTTACAACTGTTTATTGTTTAGACTGTCCACTTTCTAATGATACATGAGAGGACATTATTTTCATTAGTGGGATGCTTCCCAATTACAGGTAAGATGAGCTGTTTTTGAGTTTTCAACTGACTACACCTAGATAAATTCTTGATATACTTCAATTCTTGGATCAAAGTATTTGTCAATCTTCCCCAATCTAGGTGTCCCATTCACTTTTTGTTTCATCACCATCACTTCTTATCTGAGTTTTAAGGCTCATTTCACTTTGAGGCTTTTGGTCATCCTTTATCTTCTATTTTCTGAAATGCATATTCAAATTAGGTAAAAGAAAACTGGTAAATTTGGAAAAAATGGTTTCAGTTTTCAGATTTTACAATTCCTACATTGCTTTTCAATGTAGAAAGGAATGTATCCTTGTAAAGAACATTTCAATGATCAACACAAATAACATATCTGTCTAAGAAGGACAGTTTTAACAAAGGGACAAAGAATCAGGTAGTTCATCATTTGGAGAAATAATAAGAATATAAACATCACATGGAAGATTTAGGCATTAACACCTGAATTAAGTTTAAAATTTCAGTTTCTAGGCAGGTATGACACCATTTCTTTCAAGATAAGATAATAATAGTGGGTGAAAATTTTCTACATTTCCCAGTGGATTTTCTAAGTCTATAGGAAAACTATTATGTATCATTTCATGTTTTTAATTTTGTCTTCATTTCAGAAGAAAAAGACCTGAGTGCTGATTTTTTTTTTTCATTTCTTAAACTTTCACAACATTGAGAAGTTTCTCTGCATTGTGTCTTCGCTGATGTCTAAAAAGATTTGAGCTTTGACTATAGGATTTCCCACACTGAACGCATTCATAAGGTTTCTCCCCAGTATGGATTCTCTGGTGATTAATAAGCCCAGAATTCTGGCTAAAGGCTTTTCCACATTCGAGACATTTGTAAGGTTTCTCTCCAGTATGGACTCTCTGGTGTTGCACAAGGATAGAACTCCTGC